TTTTTTTCTGTACCTTCAAAAAATTTTTACATTTAGGTTCATAATTTCATTTTGAGTTAATTTTTATATCAGAGGTGAGTTCAGGTTGAGGTTTTTGATTTAATTTTTTTATTATTGTTTTGATCTGTTTTGCCTGTGGATGCCTCTTTGCTCCAGCACAGTTTGTTGGAAAGGAGTCATATCTGTTTGGACTCTATAATGTGACCTTTTTCTAGTTTAAAATTTTTTTTCTTTTTAAATTCAGCTTTTTGGGTATTGGGATTACAACTCTTATTTTATCAGCATTTGCCTGGTGTAACTTTGTCCTCTGTTCTGTTTTCAACTTTAAAAAACACTTAGTTTTAGATGTATCAGTTTACATTATAGAGTTGGGTTTTGTTTCATAATTCAATCTGAAAGTGTTTTTCTTTTATTCTGGTTGAGTTTTGCCCACTTATATTTATTGATATGAAAGAAATTGGTCTACATTTTGATACAGTTTAATAAAAACCTTTTACTATGTGATATGTTTACTTTGGATTATTTGTTGATTCATATAGAAATATGCCTTCCTATGTCCAGGCTAACTAGAATTTTCCTTATGATTCAAGATTTTATGAGTTTGTTTATTTTTTATCTTTCTCTGGCCAATGGAGTTAGGCAAATATTTTTTCACAATACAAAACTTCTTTCTCCCCCACCCCTTGCCACAGAAATGCAATGCTCTTTGTCAATAGGATATTTCTGAATGATTTCTTTTTAATTCCTACCTTCTTCTCTTTACTTGTTGGAACCAAACTGAAGAGTTTCTGCCTATAGCTGTGCATCTTGTTTTCATTGTTACAAACATGGGCTTTAGACTTTATAGCTTGGAAGAGTTGACTTTGGTATTTCCTTGTGAGATATGCAGTTTCCCTTTTCGACTGTCACTCTTCTGCACTTTGCCCTCTGTCATCTCCCTTGCTGCTGTGAGCCATTCCACGTATTTGGATGGTTGGATTTTAGCTATATTTCAGTTTTACCAGAAGGGGAGTTTGCTTTTTTTTTTTCTTTCTTTGTTTATATCATTTTTAAGAAAAGAAATGGGGGAAATGGATATTCTGGTACTTTTTAAACTAGAAATTTAGTAACAGTGTCTTTAATAGCTTCATAAAACATGTTGATACATTTTAATAAATTTTAAACTATTAGAATAGTAAAACCTTTGCTATCCTTTGGGATAGCTAGAACATAGATTCCTGGAGTATTTTAATTCTTTTTCTAAATTTTATTTTAAAAAATACAAAGTAATTAATTTAGACCTAAAGAATAACAGATTCGAATGTGTTCTACCTTTTCAAGTCTTGAAGAGTTAACACATAGAAATGTATATTGTTTCATAGCTCATTTTCGCCCGATAAAAACCAAAAGAATAGTTTATTGTACACAAAGGGAGATTTAGTTAGGTTTATTTTAAAGAGAGTATACATCAATTGTTGTAGTTTTTGTACTTTGAAAATTATACATGCTTTTAAAAAAGCATTGACTCATTCTAGAAAATTTATTAATTTCCTATACTCACACTACTGAGTCTAAGGAAAATATAAAGACTTTTAGACTGGCTCATAAAACAAAATCCAACTCTCTAATGTGAACTGACACATTTAAAACTAAGTGTTTTTAAGGTTGAAAATAAAGCAATTTAAAGCAACTGACACATTTAAAACTAAGTGTTTTAAGGTTGAAAATAAAGCAATGGGCAAACGTACACTAGGCAAAGGTAAAGAAGTTATGATCTTAATGCCCCAAAGACTGAATTTAAAAAAAAAAATATTTAAACTAGAAAAAGGTTACTATTTAATTTCTTACACTAGATTCTAGCCACTATTTCCAGAATTTCTTCTCGTCTTGTTTTCTTTCTCTATAGTGTTACCAAAACTTCTCTCTTAGTTTGCTACTATCATCAGCGGGTTTGCAGCAGAAAAATAGTATGGGCCTTTTCTACTATTGTAGGATCCTTAAAGGTTATGGGTACTGTGTTTAACCTTCTCTCCTTACCTCCCTTTTCTTGTTAAGGACAATGCTCAGTGTCTTTTTTACTGTTGGGTAATTGTCCGAGTACCATGTAGGATACTAGTGCTATATATTTAGTGTTTTCATATCATAAAAATATTTTACCATGATATGACAAATGTGTTTTATCTATTGCTGTGTAAAAGATTTCCCTGGAATTTACTAGCTTAAAACAACAAATGTTTATTGCTGTATGTGACAAGGGGTGAAAATGTTGGGAGCATCTTAGCTGGGTAGTTCTGGTTCAGGGTCTTTTAATATCATATAATTGCAGTTAAGCTGTTAGATAAGGCTACAGTCATCTCAAGGCTTAACAAAATCCACACACTAAAGATAAAAATCATTGTAGAATCTTTACTCCTTCTGTTGTTACTTATTTTCCATTTCATGTCTAGACACTTTATTTCTTTTTGCTACCATCAACAATGTCTTTTGCAATCCCTCTGACTTTCTTTATTCTTTTTGGGGTCTTTTTCAATTTATATAGGCTATTTTCTTGCAAGACAATATTTGGTTTCAGTATTCTTTGTATAATCCAAGGAATTATAAACCATGACAAAGCCAGTTGTCTTGCCATCACCAAAATGGGTTCTGAAAGATGATGTTTGGTGTATTGTGTATTTTGTATATTTTGTCTTGTATATTTTGTCTGTGTTTTCCCTAACCTGCCTCTGAATTCACACATGTAGTTGTTCAGAGGTGTCAGTACTTGGCCAAGTGTTTACCAGAGACCTCACCGCATGGGCCTTTCCATAGGCTCCCCTTACTGTTTCATGTCTTGACAACTGACTACTTTCAGAGCTGGTAATCCAAGAGAGAAAGAGAGCCAGTGAAAGGGGAGGCCTTAAATGGAAACTGCAGTCTTTTGTAACTTAATCCTGAAGTAACATACTGTGTTTTGTCATATGCTATTGGTTACACAGACCAACATCAGTGAGAGAGGACTGTGCAATGGTGTGCATACCAGGAGACAGGGATCACTGGTGACTACCTTATAGGTTGACTGCCTAGAATGGCAATGCTGTATTTTTGACTGAAGAACTAATTTTTATATCTATATTTTGAACTTACACCTAGATATATTTCTTTCATGAATTTGATGAATTCATTGTTTGTATAGTTATTTCTGCTGTGTTTTATGGAGAAAGATATTTAGTTATATTTTCAGTGAATTTAAGAGGTGATATTGACAAGATTGTAATTAGGATCATTCTTGGAATTTCTTTTAATTTTTTTTTTTTTTTTTTTTTTTCAGATTTTTACTGTGTCACCGGCAATAGAGTGCAACGCCACGACAGCTCACAGCAACCTCAAACTCTTGGGCTTAAGCAATTCTCTTGCCTCAGCCTCGTGAGTAGCTGGGACTACAGGCATTGCCACAA